CCACACCCACACCCAAATCTCAATGAGTACATAATATGATATAGTGACTTATTTTTCATCATCGAATCAAACACATGTATTTACACCGACTGATATTAGTTAATTTGATATGTAAATGAAGAAAAAAAAATTTAATTGTGATTTAAGTATTTTCAAAGTTTATGTTATAATTTTTTGTTTAGAGCGAAATGTACAGTTATTGTTCGTTTACTAAATTTTATTACAGCATTTTGGTCTAAATATCCACAAGATACAATGCGATCTATTGATAGTTTATTTTATAATAATGATTTAACAAAATTAATTTTAACTTGTGTATTTAATCCAACACAATTAGGATTTGATATAAATAATGAAGAAATTAATAAGAAATTACCTGAAAGAGTATCTAGAATAAAAATTTATTATTTAATTTATTCGAAATTTAATAAAATAAATATTTAGATTCTTACTTTACTTAAATCAATGACAATTCATCTACCTGATCAATTATTACAACCATTCTATGATATTGCATTAGAAATGACAAAAACTGATGGGTATGTATAGATGTAATATTATATCCGATTATATTCACACGATAGATTTTTTTACAATGAACTTCATAGATAAAACTCATAGATTTCGATCCGAGAATGTTTATACAAAAAGATAGTTTTGGTTTAGTTCAAGTTCTAAAATTAGACGAATAGATATCATTAAAGAAATTTATCAACAATACCAAAACTGTACAGAAAGTCAGTTAGAGAGAGAGAGTACAAGTAAGATTGGAAGATTTAATGTGAATCTCATATGGATCAAAGATTTTCTTAAAAGCTAATCTAAAATTGGATAATGAAGAAAACCTAATTAAGACATGAAAAACTAGATAACCAGACCGAGTTCAAAGGATTATTGAGAATAGAATATTCAGATAATTATCAAAAAAAAAACAACGTTTGTTTTCAAAGATGATTAATCTTAAAATATTCGCATATAATTTAAGACTTTACAATTTAACTAAAGAATTAAATCAAAATCCAATTCATTGGTCATTAATATTTACCATAACTCGTGGACATCGTCTTTTACATGATGTTCGATTACTACCTAAACCGAATCAACCTGAAGAATGTGCAAAAGAATTATGGACAACAATGCTATCGGTATTGATTTTCTTTTTTTTGTTTTTGTATTATAATTAACATTTTTAATTTATGTATGTTTTGTATTTACAGAAAATGATTACTCATGAAGAAAATTTCGATAAAGCAAATCTTGTTTTAAATGTCGATACTCAACGTGGTTTACAATCTCTATTTGATTATATTATTTATTTAGGCATTAAGGTAAATTAATATAGTCGTTTTGCCTTTTTTAAATTTACATTACGTCTGGAAAGTAACTTAGCAAAAAGAAAACTATACATTTTCATTGCGGTTAAACGAAATCAGGTGGATTTGTTTTTGTTTTGGGAATAGACAAGACTTGCAAATTTTTATTCATAAAATAAAAGTTTATAAATATTCTTCAGAGGATCTTCCATTACATCCAGGTTGTCGATTTTTTTGGAGTATGAGCGACTGAAAATTCGGCAGAAAGTAATTGCATTCTCGGAGGAGAATGGAAGAACGAAATCCATCGTGGCCTAGCTCCTATCTCAATCCTATTGCTTTTGTAACGATATTGTCTGCTGATTTCTATTTCACATACTGCCAGAGACAAGCAAATGATATTACAAAATCAGATTTTCGTCCAAAGTTATCACGAAGCTAAACCTTGATTACATCCGATACATCATTCCTCCAAGAGGATCTTCTATTTCGGCAAAGAGTTTATTTATAAACTTGTCATTCTCTTCTATTATTAGAAACTAAATTCACTTAATATAGTTTAAATACAATTTTCTTTCTGCTAAGTAATTTGTCGAACATCTTGTGTAATTTCTTTCTTTATAGCCAAATGAAGTTTTACCATATTTTTTTCAATCAAATCGTATACATACAGATTCTGGTATGACAACAATGGGTACATATTTATTAACATTATTTAAACATCAAATAACAAGTTGGCTTGGTATAACACCACATTTTATAATTGATAATGTTGGTGAAATAAATTCTGTTGAACAATGTCGTCCAATTGTTGCATTTTTAAGTACTGTTCTTGATTTATGTAGTCGTGAAAAAGATATTCGTCAACAATATGGTCGACAATTTATTCATGGTATATATACATGTTGGCCACAATTTTCTTCACTTTATTATTC